CCGATCTGGGCTGTGACATGACCCACCAAGTCTGTTTTCACCTTAATAAGTGCCTGCAGAAATACCTAAGGGGATACAGGATTCTGCTGCACCAGGCTGACTGCCATACAGCTCTTCAGCTCCACCAAGTTATTTGGCCAAGAAGAAAGTGATCTCACAGCTTGCTCCAACTCAGCTTTGTTGGCTTTGTTTGATAGGCACAAATAGCATCAGCAATGGAAGGGAAGAGGCAGGGATGGAAAGTTATCACCATGTTTTCCTCCCCACCAGACAGCTTTGTTTCCTCTAGCATAAACAAGCCAATAACTTGCTCTAGCTGAGAAGTCTGTGGCAACTGATGAGAACTTTCAAAAATGGTCCAGAAAAAGGTAAGCTGGGAATTGCTCATACAAATGTTTATCAGTAAAGCAGCCTTCTTTCCAGGCAGGAACAGGACAGCAGCTGGAGACCCAGCTGCCATCTCAGTGCCCTGCTTGCAAGAACAGTTCATGGAACAAGTCCTGCAACTTGCATATACTATTCACATCATCTCCCAAATTGCCAATTATGTGGTCAGTTATCACTGATGAACAAAGAAATAATGTCAGAAAACACATAAGCTGGAAGCTTTTAATTGGATGAGAAAACCCTGAGTCATACAGAATTCACGATATCTGAGAACGCAAAGAAGAGATTTTAACAGCAAGGACATGACGGCTGTTCTCTGCTGAGGGAGAAAGTTTCAGCCCTGTCACATCAAGTCCCATTGTAGCCACAACACTCAACACACTTGCTAAAAATACAGCATTATCTATATGTTCTGTGCTAGCAATTAAGCTATCAACATGCTTATTATTTAAGGCCTAATAAAACCTCAAGATTTGCCTTAGAAAATTAGAAGTGTTACGTGCACATATATAGCAGTGACAGAATTCCTATAAAACGTGTAAGCCTTTAAATAACCTTCACTTCACAGTGGAGCTTTTTAATGTTAGTATTGTGAAGGAATAATTAGTAGTGACTCGCCATCAGTTTATGAGAGCCTGGGAGAAGCTAAGTCCTCATATAAAAACACAAACAGTGTTTATGGTGATGAGATTTCTCATGAGGAAGCAGTGGGGGACTGCACCAAAGCTCTCTAAAGAGACACGTTCTCAGAATCTAAAGAATTTTATGCTTCAGTCGTCTGCACTGCTCAGTTTGAACAGTAATAGTTTTGTCATCTCCTCAACAGAGGCGGAGAATTGATTTTCTCCCTTCATCCTCACGTGGAGTTTCCATCCTCACAGTGTTTCCAGTGGAAAGACAGGCATCTGTATGTATAACTCGTATATTAGGCTGGATATAATTTACATGAACTCTACCCAAAGCATAAAGCAGCAGAACCAATTTGTCTCTTGAATTTAAGCCAGATTCTTTAAACTCCATGTTCACAGATCTATCCAGACCATCTTTTTTGGCATACAGCCACTGTTACATTTTCCAGAAGTTTCTTCCCTTCAATTTGTTGCCCTCCATTGCAGAAGAGGCAGCAGGCTGCCCCACAAAGAGCCCTGCTCCAGCTCCTATGGGGTGGGAGGAAAAAAAAGAAAAAGAAAAAGCATTCTCTCCAGTTCTCCATTCCTAGAATAAAGGGCACCCATTGAGCAGCCACAGTGCCTGCTCCTTACTGCCCTCACCCCTGGGGCTGCACGGGGCTGCTGGGAGGAAATGAGAATTTCAAGGAACATATTACAACAGAAAAGTAACAAGAGGTGAGCATCACAGACTCTGCCCCAAAAACTGAAGGTGCTTTAAAATGCAAGGGCTCTCCTCTAAGCAGACTTATAACATAACCCATCATAGCCAAGCAGTATGTTTTGCAACACATTCTTTTTTTACCAATCTATTTCTGAAAAGGAGAAACATCCTCAAATCAGCACCTATTACATTGTAAATAACGCTAGTACACATTGATGCTATCTGGTGGAACAACTTGGTAGCCTGTAAAATGGAATTAAATGTGTCACTTCTCTAGTATGTCAATAACAATTATTTTTCTAATGCTTGTTCAGTTATAGGAATACATGAAAAGAAGCAATCACATTACAGAAAACATGATTTGATGTTGTTTGTATACACACACTCATGTACTGAGAGTTTGTTTCATCTCCTGAGATTATGGTTATTGCCTGCAAGTTCTGTGTAAGAACAGTATAATCATAAGAATAATAATTTCCATTTTATTTATGTAGAACATAAATTTCTAAGTACTTACAACTCAAGGTCAGCTGAAAGTTACCACAGAAGCAACACTGTTTCATTAGCAATGCAATGGAAATAAAAGACAAAAATCAACAACAGCATTTTAAGAAACCTTGGAGACTCACTAAAACCACAGAGGCTGCAGTGCAGCCAACACAGAGCTCCATCCCCAAAACAGGACCAGAGCAGCACACCAAAACAATGTCATGCCATGGGTGAAGCCAAGCCTCAAGGCAGCAAAAGTGAAAAAGTCATAGCAAATAGACTTGAGAAGGCAGGGGGGTAAAGCATAGTAAGTGTAAGCGCTAGCATGAGGTTCTGATCAAGAGCCCGTGTCAACAGGAAGAATAACAAGCACCACCCAAATACATATATAAAAATATATTATATAATATAAAAAACACAGAAGGTGAAGCAGAAGTCACCCTGAGAGGTACCAGAACTCCTTGATGCAGGAGAAGGCAAGTTATTATTACCCATAGTATTCCCTCAAAAATTTCAACTTTTTCTTTCAGTCCACCCTGCATGCTGGCTGCACTTGCAGAGCACCAACAGTTTCCCATCCTTTTTAAACTATGTGCAGCCTTCTGAGTTTCACAACCTTAAGATATTCTAAAGAACATATCATGAAACACATCAAAGAACTATACAAAAACATCTGATAAGACTTATTACCAGCTAGTACCAGCCGTGCTCCACTGGTAGCTGTTTTGCTTCTGAAAAAGATAGCAGTACCAAGACTTATCCTAGCCTTTGAGATAAGGTTTTCCACTCCGATCTGTCTAGGTAGTCAACCAGCATGAGACGTTCACTTTTGTGATACCAAAAGCACCGGCATTTAAATACATCCTAATTGCCTTAATAAGGACTTCCAATTAAAAAAAAAAAAAAAACAGCAGTTAACACAGAGGTGCATTCCAAGTACTAGAGAAGTCCCTTCTGACCTAAGTTGGAAAAAAATGTCTGGAAAGCTGCATTTTCAGTTTGAGAGATTCCTTTGATGCCTTGATCAAACCACTCAGCGAGCAAGACTCAAGACCATCAGAACTACAGTTTCATTAGACAGAACAGATTAATTGAGACAAATAAGTTTTGGGGCTCAAGGATGAGAGGCACAAATTCCCATAGTTGAACCAGGGGGAAAAAAAGAAACCCTCAGGCACTAAAATGAACAGATTCAAACTTCTCCAGCTAACAGTACCATGCGCTTCTTTCATTAGGCCCTCATTTTGGCAACAAGCAAGCAAGAAGTCGGCCAAGGAGCTCCTATCCTTTTCGACACTGTGGGCAGCCTATCTCAGTCTATGTCTTTGTCAGGCTAGAACATGAGCAAGGCTCCAAAGCAGACAACTCACACTACCCACCAGGAATGACTTCATTACACTGCTTACATTGAAAATATTCCACAGCTGTTATCTCAAGAGAAGGCACCAGCTTCAGCTGTCTCTCCACACACACCTGCCTCCCTCTGACTACTGATTTGAATGCTCTCATGGTCTGCTTGCACCAACCTCACCACTCGCTCTTAATGACTGAAATACAGCCAAAGGCAGCCAGAGAGCACAACTGAAAGCCTAAAAGCTCCCTGCACGTAGTTCAGATATATTAGCATTGAAGTCTAGTTATGAACCATCTAAACACATCCACTGTTCACAACTTCACAGCCTAGAGCCAATAAAGGAACATTCATCACATGTGCAAGGCAGAACATGAAGTGCTGGTTTACATTGGCCACCACAAACCACTCCTTCAAGCAGGTTTTCTGGTCATCACCAGTGACTGCAGTCAAGTGATCCGAAGCATTCACAGTAGAAAATGTCACTACTCACACACTTCAGTGAGCTGAGGGTCAGAAATCAAACCCTTCCTTTTTTCTCTCTGTGTAATGCTATAATGGGGTGACAATAGCAGAGTGGCAAAGTCTTTGGCTACAGCAAACGAGAACAAGCCCAAATACAGCAGCCACAAATACAGAAATGAAGGAAAAGAGCTGCTTACCTTTGGAAGGCCCCAGGTAGGCAAGGATATCTGGCAAGAGATGCTCTCACTTCCACCGCCAACCCTTAAATGAGGTCTGGGTCACTGAGGTGCATTACATTACATGCACCTGAGCTCCCCTGCTTTGGCCCTGCCTTCCTAGCAGGTGTCCAATCACCAGTTCGTGCTGTGACTACATTTCTGCTACACTGTGGTCTAAAGCTATGAAACAACCCACCGCTCCTTCCTCAAGTAGGAGGAAATATAATTTCCAAGATAATCTCATGAATTTAATTGCCTCAGGATTAGAAACCGAGATTCACTTTTTAAAGTTTTCTCTGCACCTCCTTATTTGAGAGAAACAGAAAGCAAGCCAGGACTCCAGTGCAGCAAACATACCTCAGGAAGCTGATACTTAAAAAAAAAAAACAGCAACCATCATGAGAGCTGGCAACTCTCAAATCACCAGTTGTAGAGGAAAGAATATTAAACAGCTATCATCAATCTATCTGGATCCAGGAAGCGAGCCATGAAATGCTGACAAAGGGGAATATCTGGTCTGACAGTGAAGGTATATTTATCTTTTAAATGAAGAATAATGGAGTTACACTGAAGAGACATATTTTAGCTCTGCAACAGTGAAGTATCAATCCCGTCACCTCATAGTGATATTTGAACACCCCCAAGGTAAGAAAATTTATTTTATCAGCCATTTTAGAGACCACCATTTTACACAGTTACTGTAGTCTCCAAAGGAACTACTTGAGCAGCACAACCAGAACAGCAGTGTGGAAACCAACCTTCTGAAAAGCTCTAGCACAGTCCCATCACAGCAGCAGCCCGGGTAACCAGCTCTCTTTTCATCCTCTGCTTCTTTTCTGCCAAATAGAGACAATGCCAGATTATCAAAAGAATGTTAGGGGTTTTGTTGAGGCTGAAAACATTTTGATTTGATTTGCTTCCCAACACATGAGGCCTCACAACCAGGAGTATAACTAACACATACTTACATGGAGCATCGCTTAAGGAATGCATATCTGTGCCCCGGGTCACAGGCTGGGACAGAAGCCATAGCACTAGGGTACAGATAACAGCAAGATGCACTCCTAGCAGCTCTCGGGCTCTCTAAGCGCACTTAACCCCAGACCGGCCTAATTTTATACAGACTACTCTCCAAAAAACAAAAGAAAGAAAAGAAAGAAAGAAAGAAGTGGCAAACAACTAAAATCCTTATCTGAACACCTTTCTGCCTGCTGAGTGAGCTGAGATAGCCTCACCTCTTTATATCTCTTTCATCTGAAGACTAGATTCTACCTCTAAGGACTCAGGATTACCCTCTAATCCTGATATGCTTACCTCCTTTTTTCTCCCAGTATCCATGTCCTGCCTGCTGACGTTATGAAGAAAGTGTGTGGGGGGAAAAGAAAAAAACAAAACAACTCAAAAAACACAAAGCAAATTCACTACTTACAGAAAAACTCCTTAGCACCACACGTAAGTACTAATGTCCTACCTCACTCTGAGCAAAATGAGCACCTGCTGCCTGGAGACAGAACAGCTGCTCCCAACACAAGTTTCCTCCCACCTGCCCCATCAGCCTGTCCTTCAAACCCTGCACCCTAATTGCATACAGGTGGAGTCAGACCTCTAGGCAGCCCAGCCTCCTTTTGCTTAAAGTGGTAGTAAAGTAAAACAGTCCTGGGTTGAAAGGGGGCATTTGGACACATAATATTTGGTTACACCAAAATACAGATAATGGGAAAGAACTACAGCTGTTGTAGTCATCCTGTAAGAGGTCTGTTCTTGGGCAGCCCAAGGGCGGCAGGTTGTTAATGCTGGCAACCTGAAAACCTCTGCCCTTCTCCCCACTTTGGAAGCTCTGAAAAATATATTTACATATTATTTTTACCACTAGGGGCTTTATCTTAACAGCAGCCAAAAATGCAGCAGCAGCATACATAAATCTGCACTACTAGTTGACTTACCTCTGCTTTGCAGAACACTCCTACAGACTGAAAAAGCCCAGGCCAGGCAGCCGGCCATCTGAGGCCAAAGCATAGTCTGCCTGGCAGCTCTTTTGTGCTGGGTCAAACACACAGATATGCAGCACATGGTTCCTCCTGCTGTGAGGCTTTGGGGCTTTTGCTCTTTCTAGGGGAACGCTTTGCAGAGAGAGCAAAAGCACAGCAACCCCCCCACCCAACTTCATGGCAAAATAAGCAGGCTTCTGTCTCCTGAAATCAAAGGTTTGATTTGCTTCAGCTGTGCAGGAGAGGGGCTGCCTGTAGAAAGGAATTAGAGCTTGAACGCGTAGCAAAAATAGACCATGGTGAAACCTCCAAATCCTGGAAGCACATGACTGAGCTTTCCTAATTCCACAGCCAGCAGTGTGCAGTGCTGGAGAGCCCTCTCCCATCAGAACGGCACTCTCATGAGTAATTAAAGCCGTGAAAAAAAGAGCACGCTCTCAAAGTGCCTAAATTGAAACAGCAGATATCACAAAACTGTGCTGGGGTTCTAAGAGCAGGTAAATGATCAGCTCGAGGGAAGAGAGGCACATAATGGCAAGGAAGGCGCTTACCTCCATAACGAAGCTCTATCTGTTGACCCACGTAGGGAAACAGGCATCAGTAATTTAGACAGGAAAATTTGCACTGTTTCATTATGATGGAAAAGTGGGGTTTAGAAATAAATCCTATCCATAAATCTTTCAAAATCACCACAATTGATTTCCTGCTGCAAAGCAGGAGCAGCAGCTGCCACAGCTCTGCTTCCCTCTGCTTTTCAGACAGCCTGGGGAACGTGTCCTCCGAAAGGTACCCATCACCTCCACAGCTTTGGGGCGATTGAAGTCATTTCCACTGAGGTAAAGGGCGTTCCAGGCCCCTTTTCATGGAGGGGTCAGAAAAAGGTAAAAGTAATTACTGCAAAGTCTGTTGTTCCAGAACGTTCTCTCCAGGAACACGCATTCATATTGTAACGGTGGGTGGCTTTAGGATTTTTTTTGTTTGCTCCATTTTACCACGGAAGAAGAAGAGCCATCTTATCACCTCATCTCATCTCCTGCGTGCTACAGAGGTGGGTCATGCACTGAGCAAGCAAAATGGGTGTAAGGAACGAGCGCTGGGAAGCACTGGATGCAGCAGAGCACCACGCTGTTCTCCCGTTTGCACGTTTCTCACCAGTGCAAGCATCAGCCCGACGCCTGATGAGCAATGAGCAGAATGTGGGCACCTCCGAATGCCATCGTGCCTAATGGGATCAAAGGTGTTTGTGGAGATGTCTGAGAGGGGCTCGATGGAAAACAAACTCCTTCTATGGGAGTGGGGAACAGCCGTGCAAAGCCATCCTGCAAAAAGACTGCATTTTACCATTTAATCCTCAATTATACACATGACTTCGCTGCAGAAAGGTCACCACACAAAGAACGTTAGTCAACCGGGCTGAAGGGAGGGGCTGCGCGGCCGCGCTCAGCCCAGCTCTCGCTGAACGGCTCTGCCTCAGGAGCACAAACGCCCGAGCGGAGGGCGAGCGGGGGGTCGTTCAGCCCGGGGTCACGTGGCCCTCCCGGCCCTAACCCCGGCTGCCTCCTCCCATCGCGCCCTCAGAGCCGCTCCGGGGCCGCCGAGATGCGGGCGAGAGCGGGCGGGCTGTGGAGGCGGCGGGCGGCGCTGCTGCTGCTGCTGCTGGCGCTGTGGGGCTGGAAGCCGAGGGGAGCGCGAGCGCAGCGCCCGGCAGAGGACACAGGTGGGGCGAGGGGCGCGAGCCGCGCACCTGCCGACCGCCCCCGGCCGCGCTGTAACGGCTCTGTCCTCGTCTTTCAGAGAACGGGACGGATTGCGTTCCCCCTTCGTCTGAGTTTCCTGAGGGATTTTTTACACCGCAGGAGAGAAAGGATGGCGGAATCGTTATTTATTTCCTAATTATACTTTACATGTTTTTGGCCGCGTCCATCGTGTGCGATGATTACTTCCTTCCGTCTCTAGAGATCATCACGGAATGTAAGTGCGTTCATCCCTTTCCCTGTAGCGCCGGGGGCTCGTAGCTGGGGCACTGCGGGCAGAGCTGCAGCCACCCCACGGATCCTCGCACACACAGACCTTAGCAGCGTACGATGCTGCGCCGAAAAGCAAAGCCTGTAAGCACCGGCGTGAGCTGCCGCCATACAGTGGGTATGTCAGAGGAGGGGACAGTTAGAACAGCCGGTGAAATCTCATCACCCTGCAGGAAGTCCCCAGGCTTCAGCAGACCGCTGAATGTAAAAGTGGTCCTGGCTGAGTTCAGATCTTCATCGATAAAACAGATTCTCCAGGGAAACTCATCCCTGAACACTGGAAAACACTCTCCAGACCAGAATGCTTGCAGGAAATGTAAGCTTAAGCATTGCCATAGAGCCAATACTTCATTTAAATCGACATGTTAGACTGTTGTTCCATATCAAGCTATACTTTCCTATCTCAGCACAGACCTCAATCCAAAAGGTAATGTTTCATAAACAGTTTACAAGAACAAAAGTCATATAGCGTTCATGGAGGAGGTTCATTCCAGCATTAGTTTAAATCTATTTTTGGTTTACTAAGGCACAGGAGCATGGATTTCAAAACAGACTTGACTTGAATCATCATGAAGTGTTACCACACTAGTCCAAGGAACCTCCCCACCAGTTTTATCCTCATGAAGCAGCATTCAGGCCGACATAAACGTGCCTGTTTTACCTTTTAAGATCATATTGCAATGCCTTTGTTACCAGTTTCTAGTATTTAAATGAGGTTGGGAACAAGTTAGCTCAATTAACGAGGCTACATTTTCAGTGTTTTAGGCATTTCAAATAATTGCATTAACTGTATGAAAGAGAGCAGAGTTCATCCCAGTGCACTGTAGTAGCTTCTAACATTACATACTGATGTAAGACTGCTGGAGTATTTAGGTTTTAAAAAAATTCTTAAAGCAATTTTTTCGCTCTGTCCTCAGGCCTTGGCCTCTCTCAGGATGTTGCTGGAGCAACTTTTATGGCTGCTGGAAGCTCTGCTCCAGAGCTTGTGACTGCTTTTCTAGGTAAGAGACACACACTTTGACTCCTAGTAACCTAGAACTCTTTACCTTGCATGTCAAAGAGGAACGTACCAGAGTCATTTTCCCTGTAGGAGTCTTCGTGACAAAAGGAGACATCGGCGTCAGCACCATCCTTGGATCGGCCATCTACAATCTTCTGGGGATCTGTGCAGCATGCGGGCTGCTCTCTAGCGTGGTAAGGATCAACTCGGACAGTCTGCACCTGAGAGCCAAGTGGTTATCCTTTCTGCTTCGCCAACAAAAGTCAAGAGAGACTTACTATGACAACCGTCAAGTTTATTATTTCGTAGCAAAACCAGCATGTAATCAGATTTCAGATAAGTTGCTATGAAAGTTTTTAAAAACACTAAGTTGTTAAATATCATACTTGAGTCATTCCTAAGAATCTTAAATTTGTACATAATATAGAAACAACATACCGATGCAGCATTTACAGCACTTAGTGAAAGTATTACAGACACATTTTTAAAAAATGAAAATGAATCTGTGATCTGCAGGTTTCCAGGCTATCCTGTTGGCCGCTGTTTAGAGACTGCCTGGCATATACCATTAGTGCAGCGGCGGTCCTTGCGATGATATCTGACAGCAGAATTTACTGGTAAGAGCACAAGTAGTGTTTAATTACCGTTGACTGGAGATTAGTGAAACGGTGCTAAAAAACAAACAGACAAACTTCAGCTGCCATTCACTAACAGAAATATACATCCTGTTGGCTTTAAAAATGTAGAAGGTCACAACACTTGTAAAGATTGTTACCCAACCATTCAAACCCTGCGTATTTATAGTCTGGTCTGCATAGGCTTCTTTGTACAAACTTCACAACTTCTATCTGACCTGTTTTGGCATAACAGTTGGTCTTCGTAGCTTACTTCTTTTACAGACTTTCCTTAACAGCATTACCACTAAGAAAAACGTTCCTCTGTCAGAAGTAGATCATGACTTTCTGATGTCAAGTCTCTTCCATCACTACTGAAGCTCCTCTTGTCTCAAAACAGTCAGGCCCGGCGCCACCTCTCTCAAGTTTCTGACTCAAAATAACACACTCTGTCCGCCTCCTTAACCATCTCATAAGACTCAGTTTTGCAAACATCAGTTGTTCAGTAAGTTCCCCTGGAAAACATGCAGCTATACAATACAGAGACAAGATTCTGCAGGGGAGGAGAATTAATTAAACTGCTGAAAGACATGAAGAAACTTACAAACTTCCATGACATTGCCCATACAAGTGCAAAAAGATGCTTTTGTTTTTTCCTTTCACTACTCATGCAATTTTTGTCTTCTCATGTCAGTCACTTTAGTTATTTATTATATATTAATCTATATTACACGTTATGTAATTTTTTTTTTTTATTTTTAATTCTAGGTATGAAAGTGCTTCCTTATTATTAATATATGGGTGTTATATTCTGGTACTATGTTTTGACATTAAAATCAACCGGTGCCTCATGAAAAAGCTCAGTCCCTGCTGCTCGTGTTTTACAAAAGCCACGGAACAGAGCGGTGAGCAGCAGCCATTAGCTGGATGGAGGGAAGAGAGAGGGCCTCTAATTCGTCCACAGTCAAGAACTGACAGTGGAATTTTTCAAGATGAGCTGGACTATTCTCAGCTTTCAACAAGCTTACATGGGCTCGATGAGATCTCTGAAGGTATAAGTATTCTTACAGTTGTCTCTAAGTTCTAACAAAGAGTGGGTTTTCAGATATTATTAAGATTTTGCTCAAAAAATATCATAGTATTTAAGTACATCGTTATTCCATGCTGGAATATAACGTTAAGTAAAATTGTAGTTGTGATTTTTGTATGAAGCTAGTTGCTACAGGAATGCTAGGACAGTTGCTTATTTGTGCCAGTAACAGAACTTCCATCAGTTAGTGCTGTGCATGTTTGAAACTTCCCAGCAACTCTGTAAAATGCAGTATCAGCTGAAAGACACACTGCTACTGTACTAATACATCCTGTTTCGTCATGATAGTGGCCAGTTTGTAACCCAAAATATGCATTAAAGCAGAAGGAATATGGAGCCACGGACCACGCTTCCTCTTCACTTAGACAAATCATCAGTTGGTGCTAAATCTTGTAAACATTTTGCATAAACCTCATAGACAAGTTCATTTTTCATCCACCTTGGCTGTCTCCTAGTGACACAGTAATAAAGAACATCTGATTTCAGAGTTCAGTCCAGTATGATGTAGGCGCTAGCAAGACAACAGTTACAACGTCACAGTCATTTTCTTGTACCTTTTTCCAGTATTCTCACAAGTAGAAGCAAATCGTATGACTTAGTGCTAACGATTCAAACTTAATGCTACAGTTTAAAACAGTTCATTCATCAACAGATCATCCAAGCGTCTTCACCATGCCTGAAGAAGACATGAAGAGAATTCTGTGGGTGTTATCCCTCCCTATTATTACGCTGCTCTATTTGACTACACCAGATTGCAGAAGGCGGTTTTGGAGGAATTGGTTCATGGTAACATTTTTCATGTCAGCAGCATGGATTTCTGCAATCACTTACGTCCTTGTGTGGATGATAACAGTGGCAGGTAGGTACCTCAGGTGCTGCACCGAAGCAAGCGATTAACCACGGCTGGAAAAGTTTTCTTTGTGTGAAGATTTTCCTTTTTCACATTTAGCAGTCAGTATAGCAGCACATATTTTGCTTAAAACAAATAATCCCTTGTGTGTGACTGCTTCGTTTGCCTCCTTCCATCTGAAGAAAACCTCTGTAGAATTTAGCTATTTTTGACTGCTTACCATTGTGTGAAAGAGAATTTGTTTACAAAGCTACAAAAAACAGCCTATATTTAAAAAGATAGTTTCATTAAATTGCTCGATGAAGTGAAACAATGAGGTATGCAGGAACAAACTCATCAGGCTGAAGCCTGGCAAACATGGAATCCACCAAGACTGAAATTAAAGATTCAGATTTTTGGAAGAGATCCATTATTTCTGCACCTCAACTGCCAAAAATGGTGCCCAAACTTCCATATTATTTTATTCCCACTACAGTGTCACATGTTTATTAGTGTCATATATGTTTATTCCTTACATGTGTTTCTCTCTTAAAAATCTGCATCATAAAGTAAAGCTGAAAAAGCACTGAATTTGAGCGAGGTAAGATGTGAATGAATGTAAAATCAGTTCTAAAATATCTTAAAGTATTAAAAGGTTTCCCCATTTCACTGTTTCTCCAGTCAGCTCAAGAAAAAAAAACAACCAGGTTTTAATTTTAAGAACGAGCAGAAAACAGATCTCTAAATGAGAAACAGCACAAACATTGCCATTTCTACATCATAGCTCACTAACCCTACTTGAGTATTCTGCTAGTTCAGCATCCTAAACTTGTTTTCAAACTAAAAATTCAGCGAATAACTTCTTGTTAAGTGCAGACACAGACCTACACAACGGTAGACATGTGAGAAGTTACTAACATTGCTGGATACAACACCCATCAGGTTCACTCCTTGGTCAAACAATTTTCTGTTTGTATCTAAAAATCAAAGATTTACCATCTGAATGCTAGAAGCCTCTGAGACAGGATCCAGATGAAAATTATTGCCCATCTACTAGACGAAACACTAATTCATATGAAAGCAGGTACAGTGGAGTTCCAAATAGCACATTAGTGCTAGTCCACTCTGAAGAGTCATAACCAGCAGCACTGGGGTCTTTGTCCCACTACTTCAAGGTCAAATATGTTCTATTTACACATTAAAACTCTAAAAATTACATGTATTTGTATATATATATTCAAGTCTAGGTTCTCTGATGAAAGTTGACCCAAAAATATTCTATTTTTGCATAAAAATGGCCTATCAAACGTGCCAAAAGTTTCATCGCAGGGGGCTACGTTTTGATGGTCAGGAGCAAACCTAATTTAGTACACTTTTTTTTTTTTACTAGCAAGGAAATTTTCATTACTATAGCAAGATATTGCTATCGATACACAAAATGAACTGAAGGCTAGAAAAATAAGACCATTCTCTCTTTATGGTCAATTGCCAGAAAAAAAAACCCTACAGTTCAACTAGAAGATGAATCTATCTACTAGTTTAAAAAAAAAAAAAATCAGCTTCACCTGAGTTTAGATTCTATCTTATAAACTTCAGAGGGCTAGAAACGACTACTAGGTGCATAACACTGGTTCATTCATATTTCAGCTTTGTTTGCTTAACTTATAAAAGCTGATCCTATTGGTCCCTCCATCCTACCAATCTCTTACACTAGAAGCCATGGAAAAATAAATACCACTACATATTTTACAAGAGGATGATATTAGTCCCTTTGAACAGGAAAAATTTCAAACAAATTTATGGGGTTCATCTAGACTAAGCTGTTATGTACTAGGCAATCATTGCTGAGCTACGTTACAGCACACTGCCTCTTATTTTAAGAATACTGCTTAGAAGTGTCTGAATACTCTTCAGTCTGAATACTAAAACCAATACAGGTTTTAAAAACAATAATAAAATAAATTGATGTGGTTCAGTAAAACGTAAGACAAGCTTTAATTACTTAACAGTCTGAACAGAAATATCAAGTACTTCAAGGTATTGATGCTTATGAATGGTACATAAAACTAAAGGCTGCTACAATTTTGAAGATCTGAATCCCTGTATTCTAAGAAACCTGTATTCTTTCAGCACACACAGGGCTAAAAATACAGGCAGGCAGGAAATTTCTGCTTTGATAAATATATATATTTTTTTATTTAAAATCAGTGTTGATGTAAAGAAACTCACCCTTCTACAGAACTACTTAAAAGTCATTTTGCTTCTTCCCATAGACTGAAAAACTTCTAATTCCTTCTAACTGCAATGAAGTGATTGAGCCACATAGATGAGACAATATTGTAACCATACCCTTAATGTCCTCCTTTCCTAACAAAGTCATGCCTTGGTGTTTTTTCTCCTCTCCCCCCTTTGGAGAGTTTGTGTTTATAAGAATTACTGCTCCATAACACTTTGGAGTGCCAATGATGAAATGTCTCAAACCAAAGAAAACTATTACATTTTCCAGGAATTGAGAAAAGGGAATAAATAGGAATTTAAATTTCAACTGCACCTCAAAGGACAATCCATAACTAATATTTTGAACACAGAAAACCTTCCATCCACTCAGGTCTTTGAAAAAGCTGTAAATAAGATATTTGCTATCCTATAGTTTCTTGATTGAGGAACAAGAGCAATATAACAATGAAATGTTACTGTTACTCTTTTTAACTACTTCATAGTTCAGTCACTGCATGTTTAGTCAAGTTAAATTGGTGAACAGTTTCCACAGATTTTTGAATTACTATTATTAATAATCCTTTTTCCAGCAAAGGACACCTGAATAAATTTCTTCAGATGAAACAACCTAAAAAAATCTCGCTCATATTTTCTCCCATTGTCTCTGAACTACAGGTGAAACACTGGGAATTCCAGAGTCAGTAATGGGTCTCACATTACTGGCAGCAGGAACAAGTGTACCAGATACAGTTGCAAGTGTGCTGGTGGCTCGAAAAGGTAAAGATCTTGGTGGTCAGGCTCATTCCAATCGGTGCGTTTAAAAAGCACTTTGACAACAGAGTTCTAGTCAACATCTCCAGAAATTCAAGGAGCAGCTTCAAAACTTTCTCCAGTTTCTAAGTTTACCATGAATAAATACGATAGCTTAGCTAAAAAAAAAAAAAAAAAAACATAAAAAGCTGCGGTTCAGACATTTAAAAACCTCCCAGTATCTCAGGTAAGTGTTCTGGACTGGTGTGATTTGTTGTTGATCACATCACAGCTTTACTGCAAAGCACAACCTGTCTTGGTATTTTAAACACAACTGGATTTTACACTATCCTGTTTAGCTTATCTTAAGAGCAGCTTCGCAGGCACTGGTGACTTAGGGAAACATTTTTTACGCTCGTGGTATCAAAACCACAGTCTGTGGAATCATATTTACCTTTGTGGAAAGAAAAAGATTGAAAAGGGTGCTTCACAAAAAGTCGAGGGCCGACAGCCTATTGCTCCAAAACAGTTTGCCAATTTTGTGTAACACGAGTCAGGTTTATTTGTACTTCTTGTTTTACAGGAAACGGAGACATGGCTATGTCTAACATTGTGGGATCCAACGTATTTGATATGCTATGTCTGGGAATACCCTGGTTTATAAAAACTGCCTTCATAAATACATCCGAACCCATAGAAGTGAACAGCAGTGGTCTGACCTACACAGCCACTTCTCTCATCTGTTCAGTTGTTTTTATTTTTCTGGCAATTCACCTGAATGGTTGGAAAATAGATAAAAAATTGGGAGCAATTTGTCTTATACTCTACTTAGCATTTACTGTATTATCAATTTTATACGAACTTGGCATCATAGGGAACAATCCTACAAGGGTCTGTGGTAACTAGTTTTAATCAGTGATGTACTGATGAAAAATAAAAGCCAGAGAAAAAGATCAGTTTCTTCATTTAGTCAAATAAAAAAAAATCCAAGACTTCCATTGGACTCTAAATCTTATTTACAGAACTAAGTCATGGCATTAAAGTAATATTAAGTAGAACAAAAACATCACAGCCTAATTGGAGCCCTTTCCTTTAGAGTCAAGAATTACAGTATGACAACAAGCACATAAAACTAGAATTCTGGAAGGAAAAAAAACCACCTAGTTTTTACATTACAATGTTGATACAAGAGCTTGGGAAAAAAAATAAAAATCACAAAACACTAAACAAATCCCACTATGCAATCTTAACAGAGAAAATGGCTTATTTTATTAAAAACAGTATAACCATTCATTTAAACTGAATGACTAGAGAGAGACACTTGGCCTAATTTTCCAAAGGCTCCAAGCATCCAAAGTTCCCATAGTCTAATGGAACCTACAGGTGCTCAGTGCCTCTTAAAAAAACAACAAAAAATCAGGCTAATTGTCTTTAAAAACCAAACATAGTAAGATTCAGTTAACAAGTATCACAGTATATTAAACACTATACTGTTAAAGGCTGGTGGGATTTAAAAGTTCCTTTTTACAGCTTTTGTAAGCATACAATGTTACTAAAAATGACTTACTAGGATAGAGAAGCTAAACAGACATAGGAATGTTCCTGAACACAGTTTCAAGTTATGCATTGCGATCCAAGCGAACGTCAATTTCTCTGCCACTGATTTTTATGCCGTTCATTATCCTACAGGCCTTTTCAGCAGATTCTGGCGAGTCAAATCTGACTGTTCCACAGCCTTTTGATTTTCCATTCTCCATTTTTATTTCTGCAAACATTACATGACCTGAATAAACAAGTTAAACAGCAGTTACTTTAAGCCTTCAGTGTACTATAAACTTAAAGAACTAATTAGAAGAGATAAAAGATTAAATATTAAAGATTAAATATAATTTGGGGAACATACAATAATAGCATTTTTAGACTTACGGCATATTCACTGATTCAGGAATGAGACAAATCAGAACAGCAGTGAAGAATCCAAATTATGACCCACTCTTTCACCTTTGCTCTAAACTTAACTAAGATGAAGTATATCTTAATTTGACATCAAGTTGGAAACAAAGCACCCTAAAAATCTAAGGGAAATTTCCACATTTCATTCATGGAGTCATATTGCCAGAACAGTGATTAATGGACATATTTTGAATGAATGACAGCTCAATCCAGTCCACCATGTTCATTCTAGTATGACAATCACAGTAATATTATCAACCAACCACAACAATCTTGTAATTTTGCAAAAAAGTTGCGCAGCAAAAAAACCAGCATCCACTTCCCAATTCTTTTAGTGTTTGCTCAAGTTTGGACACTCAACCCCAAGACAACCATCTATGTAGATGCCAGAAATGCACTCCACTCTTGAGCCCTCATTTGCCAGTTGGAACAGTAAGTTCTCCCCTAAAATACAGGGCTTTTTATATTTAAATGTCATAGAATAAAAGGCTGGCCTTTCACTGAAAGAAATCACTTTAATTCCAGCATCATAAGGGAATATGGAGACGTGGATTCATATGTTTGTTGTTTATATTTGTGTCTATCAGTCTTAAAAAACACTCAGCATCATCACTGCACCTGACAGTAGCCAGAAAGAACAAAAAAAAATTCCAGAACTCTGACAGTTGCCTACATAATTAAGACCAAAAAAAAAACCAACCTGTTTGCCTGTATCGATTTTTCAGAAAACAATCTAATTCCTTAGCATAACTGCAAGTGTAGCACTAAGTTGATGATGGCAGAATCTAAATAACTGTACCAGAACACAGATATTCCTATCATAAGTCACTTGATGCTACAACTGTATCTGCAAAAGAAGTTGTACTCGAAGAATTCTTCTTAACCACCTGTATGCATTTTAGTAGAGAACAGTTACATCCATTTGCACAAGAACTTATTTCACATACCCATTCAAATCATGGCAGGAGGTGGATGGCAAGAAAAAAGAGCACAAGATAATCCCTGAAAAATTTCTGAAGCAAAATCAGAAGTGAACAACACCTCGTTGGTTTCAGATTAACTTGTTAATCAAGTTCACGTAACTGCGTAAGTTTAACACTGAACATGAATTAAACAGTTCTGCTGCGTGTTTTGTTTTTAAAAGAGGCGAAGGTTTATGTGATCCTTTAGCAGAGTGCTGTCCCAGTACAATGCCAGGATAATGACTTCCAGCTCCCAGAATTTTAACAGCAGCACTCAGTCCTGATAATAGGGGAAAACAGGGAACTCCTCTCCAACGAGCTGGTGCACCAGCTCTGGCTATAATTGAAGAAGAACTTTCAGTCATGGAACACGAGGACACTGAGTTCCTGTAACTATTGAATACATTTGAACACTGAGTTTTTTCACAGTGCTACTGCAAGGTCTAAAATATTTCTGCTCTATGCATTGGTGCATGACAACTCCCTTAGATATCACAGCAGAACATTTTAAATTCTTTCTTTCCTGCCTCCCAAAGTCAGTAAAGCCATCCACAATTCAGTTATTTAATTCTGAAGCGTTACATTCAATTACATCAAGTTATACCATTCTGAAAGTGAGATTTCAAAAAAATTAAACTCACCCTCATATTTCAACATACAAGTTTGATTAGAAAAGAATTACTGGATATTCACAGTACTCCTGTATCTTACAAAAAAGAAGGGCTTTTATTTCACAACAGAAGGCATGACACTACAGCCTGCAAATGTGCTTATCAGGATCACCTACTTGCACTAAAAAGATCTGCTGCTTTAGCAAAGTTATTAACACTGCTTTGATGCAGTACCATGACTGCAAATTGTATATGGCCTGGACACACTGACACCCCTACAAGCATTTATCTCAAAATAAACATTTCATTACATACCAGAGGAAACCTTATTCCTATTAAAAAAAAAACCTCAAAGGGTAATTTTATTAATAGAATGGGTTAAAGTTTACAGCAGATTAGCACTCTCAGTCAGCACAGCCCATGTTGTACCTTAGTCTCACATGCTGTCAAACCTAAAAATTTAAAAATTATTTATAAAACTGCCCTTATCTAAAGAACATCATACAGAATGTGAAGTCAGTGGAGCTGAGTAGATGTAAGAGTTGCATACATACCACACTGACTGAATTTCTCCTTCAGCTTCTGCCAGGTCAAGTCAAAAGGGAGCTAGAATTTAAAAATATTTATTACTAGCAAAAGATTACGACAGGAGAGAGCATGTAGTGAAACATGCACACAAAATAAGCTTAGAGTTTCCCCGTACTCAAACACTTACATTTCTCACAAATATCTGGTTGCCTTTAGAGCCCAATCTCTCTTTCATGGCACCTCCCATGGGGCCGGGCACAAATCCTCGGTCTATATCGATGTTCCTGTCCAGGCCTCCACCCATAGCTGGTCCCATTCGATCAAAGCCAGAACTCATCCGATCCATTCCCATTCCTCCAGGCATACTGTTCATACCACCCATCCCACCACCTACAGAAAGAGGATAACAGTAATAGTGTATTTTATTAGGAATAAATGCGTAAGCATATTATAAACAAAAGTTATTTTTCTTCTGCCATAAAAGAATGCATACATGCAGTCACTCATACACACTACTGTCAACTGAAGAGAACTAAACTCTCAGCTCTACCCAACGCAGCCCCAGCACGCTCAGTGACAGTCTTAGTGAAAAAGCACATAATGCAAAGAGCAGACATGACTGCAAGTCCTGTGAAGAGTATGGATTTTCCCATGATACATGCAATAGAATATATTGAAATGCATTACATAAAGAACCAAGATCAATGGCATTCAAATATCCTGTACACTGGTTTTTCTGGATTCATAATTAAAAATTAATGTAAAACAAGTTTATCAAGATCACGAGGGACCCTCTAACTCTTATGTCTCTTGAGATTGCCACTAGCAAGATTTTAGTTTCTCGTGTGCTCTAGCTTGAGGAACTGAGACATTTGCCTTAGTATAAACTTAGTATCCGAGCTTTGCACAAAGTTAAACTCTGTGATAATCTGCAACTCAAGAGATTACTGAAATAACTGAGCTCAGCTTCATCAAGTTCACACAATTCATTTTGCCCATTCATCTTTTTTCTAGAACACAAGTTTACTTCAATCACTTCTCCCTTTACTCCATAAGCTCAAACTATTTCAAACCTGTATGTTTAAGGAAAAGACTAGAGGAAAACCTGCTAAATGAATTTTCACCTTAACAGAACAGCTTTAACAACCATTAGACTTGCAGTCACATGCAACAGACTTCTAACACTGACCAAACACTGCAGTACAAATCTGCTGAAACAACTGCACGTACAACAGCCAGATCATTACATTGCCTGAGCATTTACGTTCCATGGAAACAAGTAAACCTACTCATTCCAGATCCTACTGGGCCCATTCTAGGTGCTCCCATTCCTCCGGCAAAAACACCAATCATTGCACCACCTAAACAGATAAAAAATAAAGTGACATACACTGAAACTGCCAGATAGTGACAACAGCAAGGCACACAATGATAAAGCACACTTGATCTCAGTGCTTCCCAGCAATTCTTTTCCACAGAACACTTCAGCCTGTGCCTTTGTTACACGAGCTAAGTAGGAAATACCCAGCAAGTAACTTTACCTCTTCCTTCCCTATTACAGGATGTAAGCTACTCTGATTTTCTTTCTAGGCAGTTTTTCTCCACTCTGCTATCAGTGCAAACACCTTAAACTAAATAAGCCATTTCCCACACTGGGATTAACAGCCCCATTTTCAAGGCTGAAGGGTTCATTCTATTTGAACCTTACTATGTTTCTCCCACTCTTAAGAAACTCACGTAAAAGCTCAAATTGTCTCTCAAAGCCTGTCTTTATTGTCTATGAATGCAAAGTTCATAGAACTGGGTGGGAAAAAAAGAGAAAGAGAGCAATACTAGTTTAAAAGTGCCAGGTAAAACCATGAAACCTCCAGAACAGTGTGAGAAACTGATTCTAGAAAGTGGGGCTTAATGAAAAAAAAACCAAAAAAAAACAAAAAAAAAAAACACACTGATTTTTAT